TTTTAAATTTCTGCCTGAAAATTTACTTTAAACACATATATTTAATAGAATATATATATAAAAATATATAATATAAAAAGTTTGTAAAATATTTATAGACTACTCCTCCCCAAAAATATTTTTGTTAAACAATTTTTATTTTGTTGGTTTCTCCCTGTATAATTGCTGCTTCATATTTATTTATAAAAAAAAGAAAAAAAAAAGAAAAAAGAACTTTTAGGGATACTGTGCATTCAGCATGACTGAGATTTCTGAAATAAAAAGAAATTGTATCACTGGTATATCAGCTCTGTTTTAGGTCTTACACATACTGAGACCTTTCTTTCAAGATTTGGTAAAAGATAAGGATAATTTGAAGAGTTACATGAAGATAGCTGTTGTATTTCCAAAGCTAGACTGTAACTGGCAGTCACAAAGCAATTAAGTTAAATTCTAAAACCAATGCTGGAAATATATATAACTTAATTTTACAAAATGGTAATTATAATAGATTTCAAAGACATCTGGGATTTGAAATTCAGCTTTAGGTTGAAATTAAATCAAATAGCATTACGTCTAGGTGAAGAAAGACCATTATATCATGTATCTGTACACAATTTCCACAAAAGTCAGACAATGGTGAGGCACAAGTAGTTTAGAGAAAAGACTAATTCCTTCTAGCTTTGGGCCAGATGAAACTTGCATCCAGAAAAGGGACAAGGAAGAGCAGAAACTCAAGTTCAGGCAGAAAAGCAAAAAAGCCTTTATACAGATGGAAGCCATAAGTTTCTGAAAATACAAATGCCTTCTTTTATAAGCCTGCAACATTTAAGAATTAAGTTTAGAGCATAAAAATAAATTGAAAAATCTCACTTTTCTGTCAAGCTAGTCCCCTGCTCTATAGGCGTGCCATGTTTAGTGCACTCCCTTCATAGAGTCATGGGTTCTCAAAAATGAGAAAATGGCAGAATTTGGCTGATGCCATTTCTTAATAGTGACCTATTCTGGAAGATGTTCAGTCACAGTGATGATAATGACCTCAGTATTCACCCCTGTCAGGATAAGAGAAACCTGTCTTCTTTCCATTCTCTGCTCCTGTCCATTGTGAATCTTGCAGCAAGGTACCACAGGACAGCAGCCAGGGCAGCTGAAAGCTGCAGTTGCTGTCAGTAGTTGGCTCAGGAACACCTTGTCTCCTGCAACCCACTACAGCCCTCTTTCTTTTCTCATCCATCTGTTGCGCCTTGTCATTTAGACCATGAATTCCTTGGCACAAGGATCGACATTTATGATAAATTTAATAGAATCTTCCACAATGCACAGCCTTGTCATGAGAACTAAACATAGTTATTAATTAGACCATCCTTCTCTGAAAGACTTGGCTGATATTTTTGTCATGCTGGGAAGCCAGTGGCATTCATTTATTATCTCTTTGAGGCAATCCTGTTTATTGACTTGATTGCTTACAAAGATTCCCAATTCCCAGTAAACAAGAGAAACATCTGGAGGCAGCTCCCATACTCAGGAAGGGTTGCAGAACAGCTTAAGAATCTGAGAAGTTCCTGGCCATCCAAGTCTAAAAATTATTTACAAAATACAAAATATCCAAACAATGTATCAGGCATCCCACAACCCTTTATTTCGACAGCTGGCCTAGTCATACCATCTTTAGTCTGCATCTGGCAAATCATGTTTTGACTTTCTTTGAAAGCTACATCCATGCTGCTTCTCTCTTTCCTGCCTACCTTTTATACAGGCAACATCACCATGGGATCTGGGTATGAGTTCCTGGTAAGAGAGAACACCCAGACAGCACAAATTTAGCAAAGCAAAAGTCACGTAACTGCAACCTACAAGACAGGTTCAGACATCTGAGTACGTGACATTCCATAGCTGAATTCTCACGAAGCCCATGAATTTTAAGATGTTATTTTCCTGAAGATAAATAGGGACTTTTTGGTTAGTTACGTGCTGATGATTATGAGAGTAAAATATAAAACTAGCAGTGTACAATTTTAGAGAATTCAGAGAAGCCAGGGATTCCCATGTTCTATCCACTCCAACAGGACTTTCCTACTAAGCCTTGACCCTCTACTCTTTATTCAGACGTCTGTGATCTGTCATTGTGATAGCTGTCCTCTGGCTCTTGGCCAGAAGAAAGATTTGTTTCATGCCCCATCTGTTCAGAGAAGTTGTTGTGCTGCTAAATGCTGCTTTGGTTTGTCCTGCACTATGTAACACAGGAAGTTTTCTCCTTACAACACCTCTGGGTATTTGCATCCTTGTTGAACTCTTGGGAACAGATAACATATTTTCTGATGCTTGGACTATTCCTCACTCAATACAGTAAAAAGCTTTTAAAATATGAATAGTGTTAATTACTATTAATAGCAAAGTTCTGTGGTTTACTGAAAGCTTTTAACTTACAGTTTAAGAAAATAGCAAGGAGGGAAAAGACAAAAAAATCTCTTTTTAAAAAATAAATAGACCACAAATCAAACTTTTTCAGTAGCTATGCTGATTATCCTTCTGACTTTAAGGCTCTAAGCTGAACAGGATTTGACCATTTGGGTTAAACTTTAAATTTACAGGTTTAAATTAAAAGCTAAACAGGGATCTTTCTCCATTATCCATCCAAGGAAGTAAGAGTATAAAGACTTATTAGTCAGGATTAGTCAAGAATTGACATTGGGTGTTTTATTATTCTAATTAGGCACAGGAAAATTCCTATTCCATTTTGTAATTAAAACAATACACATTCTACCACCTAATTATATTTGACATTTTCAAGGTGTTGGGCACCGAAGTCTATAATTACAGAAATGCTGCTGCCTTAAGCAGAACACTCCATAAATATTCATATATTAAAGAGTCAGTTATACTGTTTAGAAGACTTTAGAAACATTTCCCTTTTCTTTTTTATAAATGTTAGACTTGTAGAAGACATATTTTATATTTGTATTTTTAAAAAGATGGGAAGAAAAATGTTCTTTGGGATATGACATACTGTATATAGCAAATTGACTACAGACTTAATAATTAGTATTGTAAGCAGTTATGTCAGAGGTTTATAATCCTTTAGAATTATATATTTTCTTTAGTAGAACAGATAATTAGAGTCAGAAATAATATGGGAGTCCTGTACTGAAGTCATAAGACAGTAAAATACAATTCCTTAAATTCTTTGATTTTTAAATTAATAATAGAGTCACAGCTTACATACAGTAATTTAAAGAAAAAGTTATTCACTACCTTTTATTTTAGTGTTCCACAATAAAATACCACTTCAAATATTGCCTATTTTTGATAGTTGAATACTGCCATTTAAAACAGTTGCCTGCCTAAAAATACTGTGATCCAAGTAGAGTTTGCCTTGTGGCTAATGCATTAACTATTGCTCAAGGAGAGACTTTCCCTTCCTGATATTGGAGAAATGGAAAAATACTGAAGATTAAACTCTGAATGCAAGGTGTTTCATGAGTGGGCCTGCTCTGTGTTTCCGTTCTGGGAAATTACCTTTGGGGACATCTTGGTAAAAGGGCATCATTTCTCAAAAGAAGAGACAATAGGCATCTGCTTGTTTTGTCCTGTTTTTATCCTGTTGTAAGGTGCTTTTGCCCAATGGGACATGGACCCTGACTAAGTCATTAAGTATGACTTTCAAATAGTTATTAATAAATGACATTGCAAATGTTTCAAGAGTTAAATGTAGTGCAGAAGGGAAGTTGAGAGCTCAAATGCTGTGCAGAATTTCAATATCCTAGCAAGAGCAGCACAGAGTTAGTGCAAGCTCCCTGCACACCAGGGCAGGGTACCCTGTGGCAGCCTTTGGGTCCAGAGGCCACTTATCCCAATCAGCAGGGTCTCTGTGCAGGCAGGTGTTGAGAGAAGGGCACCCAGTTCCACAACCATCTAAATTATTCCCAGAGTATGAAGAGTTCAGGGAAGCCCTAATTCATCCTGCACATCTATGTAATGACTGGAAGCAGTCTAGGCCATGGTGACGAATCATGCATGCTTGCATTATGGTCAATCAGCATTCAGCACAAAGTGAGGATTATTTGTATTATATTTATATATGTATATAAAATATGTATTATATAATGCATCGTGCTAAAGAACTGGACTTCTTCCTGTGATGGGCAAGAAACAGAACTTAATTTAGTGACATTCTATGTGATTATTCCATAGATATATACATATTTCTGTCAGATTATATAATAGTTATATATGATGTATTCACATAATATGTATTACATATTGTGTATGTTATATACTGTACATAATACGTATGTATGGTATAGTATGTGAGTGCAAATATAAATGTGTTTGGGTTATACATATATATACATATGTACACTATTTACTGAAGCAAACTTCCTAGATGCCTGGTCTTATTTCTGTAATGCTCACAGCTAGATGATAAAATAATTATGAACCATAGTCATCAAGGCTCTAAACAGACTAAGTCTTGCCAAGTTTAATTGCTTTTTTGGTAGAATTGTAAAATGGATGTGCATTATCACATATTTAGATTCTAGGGAAGGACAGGATACTGGTTTTCATTAACTAATACTTTGAAACTTCATGCAAAATGGCTTTGATGTAAAGACTGTCATATATGACAGAGAGTTGCTAAAGGACCAAAAAGGGTAATTGATGAACAGCGGAGTGCTGAGGCCCCACATGGGAGACTGCAGTCCTGATACTTTCCTTAGGAAAAAAAAATTAAATCAAAGTTTTTCTATTAATGATTCATAGATGAAAAGGCTAAATTATATGTGCTAAAGATTAGGCTGGGTGTTTTGACTAGCTTGGTAGACAGAGGGTTATTGATATCAACTGAACAGTACCATATCTCCAGAGAATTAATTATTTAGAGATAGTAAAAGAGGCATGACAAGGAGCAGTGAGATATAAACAACAAACATCAAAGGGATTTATTAACAGACTATGTCATCTTTGCAAAAGCATTGCTATTCCATTTCCACACAGTAATTTGTTGCTTTCTTCTCTTCTAGCTGCCCATATTGGCATCTTCTGTTGTTAGCCTCTATTTTCTTGAACTTACTGATGTCTTCAAGCCAGTTCACTCTGGATTTAATTGCTATGACAAGAGTCTGAGTATGCCATATATTGAACCTACACAAGAGTCTGTTCCCTTCTTGATGTTGCTTAGTCTGGTTTTTGCTGGACCATCAATTACGGTAAGTTTGAAGTGCTAATGTCACTTAATAAAGATTTTGAATAGAGTTTCAGTTGGCATAAAGAAAATAGCTCCTTTTGTTTCAGTTAAGCTGTAGTGTCATGCAGGATAGTTTCCTTAGGATTTTAAATTCACGTTTCATTCTTCTGTAACAAAAGGAGATACCCTCCTTATAACATTCCCTGTGGCACTTCATCTACTCTCACTGTCTTGATGGTGGGGTTTAGTGTTAAGAAACAGCATCTATAGTTGGATGAGAATAGCTTGAATCATTCTGTTACGCTGTACAAATATTTGAACTTTTACAGACAGGGCATCTCCATACGCTCTGATGCATCAAAAATCATCAGAAATGCAGGATTTTTTTTTTTTTTTTTTTAAATGCAAGCCTTTCACAGTCCTGAACTTGCCACTTTTGTTAGAATTAGCTTTATTCAGAGAGAAGGTATATCAATCTTCTCAGTGAACTCAATTGCATTTTCTAAAAAAGCACTGAAACACCTCTAAATGATAAGTTAGTCATTAAAAGCAGGCAAAGTGGGCTGGTTTAATCATTCACCCAAAGGGAGGAGATGATTTCAACAGAACAGAAGTATCCTGTCAGAATGAGCAGCTGGGTCAGTATTTTACAGAAAAGAAAAGTAGAAATTGTCTATATATATATATATATATATAAAGACTATGCATTTTGTCTGATTTTAGTAGTTCAGATAGGAGCCTAATTCTCACACCACTCCTGTCTGGCAAGTGGAGACAGAAATTCACCTTGGGTGGGTGATTCTCTGCACCTAAAAAACATGATCAACCTTTTGAATGATCTCTTCTCCCCACTGACAGCAATGACTATGCATCTCAGTTAGGCACTTTTCAAAGGCCAGCTGCAAATATAACTCTGCTTCTAGCTTCTCTTAATTTCCTTAACTTCAATCAGTTAATTCTTTTTATGATACTATCCAATTTGCAATTACAAAATGTATAAAATGTGATGCCCGTATAAAAATTATCAAGTGCTGTTCTCTCTTTGCTTTCCAAAATGTTTTTTCTTTATTTGTCTTTTTTTTTTTTTAACTGAACAGTTCTTACTGCATTTAATTTCCGTTGCTTTAGAAACCATTTTTGAAGGATTTTGCACAACCAGCAGGCTAAAAATTGTACATTTAGGAACTGGGAGCTAAAACTCTAAGTGATTCTGGTACAAATGATTGTTGCAAACACCAAATACTGTGATAAAAGCAAAACACGAGTATTGGGGTTTGGCTGTGTTTCTTAAGTGCTTCTGCTGAGAACAAACTGGACTTTTCTGAGACACCTATAGAAGAAATCTATCTAGGCTTACTTTGGCCACAGTAGGTGGGAAAACTTGGCTTTTACTTGAGAGAGTTTCTCTTAAGCCTAGGTGATATCAAACACCTTAAATCAGGATAAAAGATGCCTTTTTCATGATATATTATTTGTTAAGGGCTTTGATTATAACTCAATTCTTTCATCATTGCGTGGAATTTTGCAATAGAAAATGTTATTCTTGCTTGAATCATTCTACCAGCAGTACAGAAAATTAATCAGAATCATGCCATGTGAGGAACTCAAACCCATACTTGAGCATGCCTATAAAAAAGAAAGTTTGATAAAGAAAGTAAATCCCAAAGCTTCAGAGTACAATTAGCTAAAAGCTGCAAGCCTTGGGAAGATGTAGTTCATTTGTATTGGTGTGAGCATGAATGCGATGCCTGTGCTGGTTAGAGGCTGGGCAGTGACAGTGCAAAATACACAACCTCCTTCAGTTGCTCTGAAGGCATTGACTCATTATTTGATACCACTTTGGAGTTAAGGAACTATGGGACATTTCTGTCCAATCCTTCCCTTTTTCTTTGGAAAAATAGGCCAATGAAGCTTAGTGTAAATAGATTACAATTGTGACATGGTCATATTGTCGAATTGAGCATTTTGTAAGTTAGTTTCATAAACATTTCAATTGATTACACACTTTATAAAACCTGTAAAAGATAGAAAAGAAAGCATGAGCTTTGTGAGGAATTGAGGATCTCCAGTAATGTTGCATATCCTGGCCTCTGTCCACACTTCAGGGACTTACTGCAGTATGAGGCAGGAGGTCATCAAGACTCAATAAAATACAGGTGTGATTAAGCCACATTTTAAATATTACCAAAGAGTGTATATATAAGAAAAAAAGGGGGGAAAATATGTGTGTGGGGAACAAGACAAGCAAATTCCTGTATCAATCCCTCTTTAAAACCTTATATAAATAATAGAATAGGATTTTTTTTCTATGTTATTTTTGTTGATATAATACTTTTCCCAAGACTGGAGAACATATAAAAATCTATTCACTTTAGAGTAATTTTTTATACCAAAAAAATCTAACATTTTATGACTTATTTTCCCAAGCCATTATTACACAAGGATATGTTTGGCTTTGGGGCTTTGCATTTTGGTTTTTCTCTTTGGGTTTTTTTTCTCATTATTAGTAAGTAGCAAACACATTTAAACAGGTCTGTTCTGTAGCCATGAAGGGTTATAGAAAATAACTACCTGTATTATTGACATATGTCTCATAGCTTGTGGCATAGATTAAATTTTGCGTATGTATTCAAAAACTGCAGGAGACTTCTGTGTAGAACACCTGGACTTGAAGAAATTATCAAGATAGATATTTTATGTCTAGAACATAGATACACCTGAATTGCAGCATGATTTCAATTTGCTTCTAAGAACTCTGAATCTGATCCTCTGATGGATTTTCTCTCTAGTTACTCATTCAGAAATGTTAAGACTAGTTATTTAATCGTATCAGTGAAGGTTCAAACTCTTACCAGCCACTGACTAGAAACCTGCTTCGAGGTAACAATGTCCTTTCCAACAGAGATCACTAGGACATCAGATCCCATTGATCTGGGAAATCAATTCTCAAGGAGAGAAATTCACTGCTGGCAATTTCACTCCTACTGCCCATTCTACTCTGGGTTTTTTTTCTGTGGAAATACCAGCCTCTGAATTTTCCTTGACATAGGCCTTGTTGTTTTCTGCTCTATCACACAAGCTAATCCATCTGTCTGGTATTTTCCCTGTACCAGACATTCCCTAGAACTTGGCTAAAAATTATTAGACTTTTTCTGAGTTTTAAGTTTGGAACACTACTGGTTTCTCTGGGAATCTTCAGCAAGAAACTGATGAAACATAGATAATAGTGGCCATAGTTCTCAGCTAATTAGAATTCCTTAAATAATCTTTACCACTGGCTTTTCCATGGTGTAAGAGAACCTTCACTACTTTGATCTTCCTGGTCAAGAAATTTCAATTTATTAAAAACTTTAGCTAATAAAGAGTTAGACTAAGCTTTTCCACTTTACCTGCCTTTTCCTCAGATGGAGGAGTTACTATAGACAAATACCACATGTAATTGCAGCAGATTCAGCATAATTCATTGCATTAGAAGCTTTGTGCATTGCATGGATTAGTATTCAATGCAGCTGTGGATAGGCAAAATGACTCTGCTTTTGCTGGTGAGAACTGCCTCATTAATTGCAATATTTCAATTCAACCCTTACTCTGAACTCTGTACAAATGCTGTACAGAATTCAAAATAGCTGCACTACTGAACAAGGAAAACAATAAAATCTGAGAGTGCAAATGTATAAATGTGTCTGGATTTTCCAGAAAGTGACACCAATTTTTTTTTTTTATATTCTTCCTTTTATAAACCTTTGTCTAGGGTTTTGGTCACAATCTGTTTTGCTTGGTGAGCTGCGAGGGACCATAAGGACAGAACTTTTTCTGCTGCTGTGGATCAGGTTAAAACCCAAATCAAACAAATACAGGAGGACAGGCTGTCGCATAATTAGAAGGTGCTCGGGATTGCTAGGCCTGTGGCCAAGACTGAATTCTAAAACCACTTCAGGAGCACTAAGATGCAGTGGCTCTGGATTATTTTAGAGGCGATATTTTATAATTACTGCTTTTTTATTGTAGAAGCATCAATTTTCAGCTGTAGATCAAGGCCTGAGCACTATATACTGTATGCTATTTGCATGTAATTTCGGGGCCATCTTCTTGCCTGCCCTCATTCAGGCTAAGTTGCATTACTTTATGTTTATATATTGATATAAATCTTTTAAAGTTGAGTCAGTGGATGACATTGGTTGTGTTACACTTATATTACAGCCTTTTAAATTCAATCAGGATCTTCTGAGTAAGTGCTACACTCAATTTAATGGCTCCTTTGTCATTGCAGATAATGATAGGAGAAGGAATTCTCTACTGTTGCCTGTCCAAAAGAAGAAATGGGATTGGAACAGAGGCCAATATTAATGCAGGAGGATGCAACTTCAATTCTTTTCTTAGAAGAGCTGTCAGATTTGTTGGTGGGTTTCAATTGTTACTCCCAAAAAAGAACTTTCCACATACATTCAGTTATCACCATGCAGGTTTGCTTCTCTGAAACAGCCTTTCAGAACAGTGCGGAGTTGTCACTAGCATAGATCTTCTGCTAGAAAACATAAGAAACTCAGACTGCAACAGAACAGCTGCATTACTCAGTAATGCAGCATCTACACTTTCCATTTCCCCTTTCCTCTCCTGTACTATTGTCAGTGTTTCTAAAAGAGTAATTTTTTCCTTCTCTGCCCACCTCGAACTGGCTGCTTTTTAATGATTTCAGTGTATAGCTTCCCCTGCCTGTCTTCAGTGCATCATAAGGATTCAACCCACTTGTCACAGTATTCAGCATGACAGTGAAAACTTGTCAGAAACTCTCAGTAGGTTTGACATTCTTTTTCTGGAATGTGTTTATGTGCCTCTCAAAAAGGGCTAGAATCTGGCAACTTAAATGATAGAGGAACATGTCAAATTCTTTCATTTTACTTTGTTTTAATTGTCATTTATTAAAAACTCTGCTTTGAAAGGCAATTGGACTTTGATCCCCTTCTTACAGTTAATTTTCTCTCCCAGTGAGTGGCTAAAGAAAAGGTTTACTGTGTTTCAGAAATCTTTCATTAGAGAAGGCAGCCTAGGCAAAGACAACCAGCAGGACAGCAGACTGAAAACCTGGTAGGACAACTATTCTCTGGGTTTTGGCAGTCTGGCAAACAGGGAGGTAGTGACAAGTGAGGTTATGCATTCTGTGACCAGTAAAGCTTCATAAGAGCAGCAGTGAGGAAGAAAGCAAAGGCTTTGTGGATTACACCATGAGCAAGGAGGACTGTAAACATACCCCACATCCACTTCTCCTGTTTGGTATCACCAAGGAAACAAAGACATATTAATTTCATCCCAAATTCCCACTCTGAATTTGAAGTTTTTTTCATATTTTAATGGCTTTAACATTCTTTCAATTTTAGGATGAAAAATAAATTTATCTCTGTGAATAAAAGTATGGAATTATAGATAAATCCTTAGGAAAAGAGCAGTTGAAAATGTTCAGTAAAGCAAATGCGTTACTTCAATTGTCTTGTGAATTTGGCATTATTAATCAGTCTGACGCATTGATCCCTTATGAAATAGACTTAAAAATTTGGATTAGTGACAAGGACACAGTACTCAAGAAACATCAGAGGTGTGAAAGTAGCCAAAGTTATCACCAGCTGGTGATTCTGTGGTAGCAAAAAGAGAACAGGTCTTCAGAGCAATGATCTAATGGGCAGTTGTCCATACTCCTAAAGGCCTGTCTTCCAGTGGGAAACTCCGAGGACTGGATAAGCACATATGCTCTCCTCAAATAGTTGGCTACTCTTTAGTCAGTTCAGAAAAATTCTTTTCAAACTGAAGCAACTCCAATGTAGCTCTCTTTGATGAAAAGATGTTGGAGGACATAAGACATTAAAACAAAATTTTAAGTATCAACATGAAGAAAACAAGCATAAACTATCCTAATTTTTATATTAAAGAATTCAACTTTGCAATAAGCTCTTGTTCTGCATTTAAATTCTCTTATTCTGCATTTAAATTCTCTCAAGTCCAATAACAAAAGCCATCAGAGCTCTGTTGAATGTACTTTGCACAATTAATCAACTTAATTAATGCATATAATATAACTAACAAGCTCTGTTGATTTCTTTCCTAGGTGTTCATGTATTTGGTCTTTGTGCAACTGCTCTTGTTACTGATATTATACAGCTATCAACAGGATATCAGGCCCCATATTTTCTGACTGTTTGCAAGCCTAACTATACATCCTTAAACGTATCTTGCTCAGAGAATTCATATGTTGTGGAGGATATTTGCTCAGGAGCTGATCTCAATATTATCAATGCTGGAAGGTTGGTTCTATTCTTCATTGTGTACATTTTTAAGTATTCATTTTATTTTTTTATTTTCTGTTCCAGTTTCAAGATTTTTTTTCCGAGTTAAAGTCTGAATGAGTTAAAGGTGAATGCATAAATGTCTTTTTAGTGATATTTAATTTTCTCCATAAAGGTATTATTCTAGCAGTGGGCTTTGGAAGACCTTGTCAGGTTCCAAAGCACAGTCATTAGCAGCTATTCTGCCCCCACAAAGGAGGCAGTTTCCTATACCATTGTCACTATGTATAGCTTTACTGCTTTTGGAAGTGGTATAGGAACAAAATTCCCTGTAACAGGCAGGGGAAGAAGTCTCCCAAGTGCTTGGTCTGAGACCTCTGTATAACATACATTACAGCTTGGGTGTTTGGGAGTTGTTGGGCAAGTTTGTTTTCTGTTTCTCTAATTAATTTTTTTATATAAACAGCATTGAAAAAAAAATTTTTTTTAGAGGAAATACCACAATAGTACAAAGCTGTGTGTTCCCAAACCTGTCTTTACTTGCATGGTATTTCTAAGTGGTTTTTTATCTCTTTCCCCATAAACATTTGCTCTTATTGGGATATTGACAGTGAAGCCTGATGCTTGCAAGCAGTGTCTTGCAACTGCATGGTGTCCCAGAGAAATCAGGAAATGATTACATAGGAGCAGGCAGAAAAATTTTCACAATTACATCTCATTCATTTCATTATCTCAAATATGATGTCTACTGCTTTGAATTGACTGCCTGTAGCCATTCCAAAATCACCAATCATTCTTAAGTTTAAATACCATCACTTCTAAAAAAACAGTGAAATTAGTTGTAACATATTAAGACTAAGCAATCAAGTTTTGGGTGTTTCTGTTTCCCTAGAAAAACAACCATATCTTGATATCTCAAAGTTATCCCCATCACAGAGGATATATTTGTCTCTCTATAATATTCTGGCACCACCCACAATTTCTTCTTAATTCAATTTTGTTGCATTTTTCCTTTATTATGTTGCTATTTCCTTATGCCAGTCTCAGCTTTATCACAGCAAGCAGCACTTGCTACTGGTTCTTTGGTAGTACTTGCTACTTCCTTCAGTCACCTATATAGAAACTATGGTACAACTTCTACAGTACAGGAGGTTAATTTGACTTCAATAATTTCAGTTTGGAAGGAACTTGTTCTGAGTTTGCTAATGACCTTCATTTTTGATTTGTACTTCCCAGAAATTTTGGCTCCAGAAATTTGCCTCTGGACTCCTGTATGAAGGCATAGAGAGGAGCACATAATTATCCAACTGATTACATCAAATAATTTTTCTGCAACATCCCCAAATATCCAATGGTTCCTATTGTCCATCTTTTCCTCTATTATCTTCACAGCCTTTTCAGTCACTTTTGTTCAGCTCTCTAGTGAGGTCTCTGTCCTCAGTCATCTCTGATGCTCTGACTCAGTGTGACTCTCTCTCTCTCAGTAGGACTCTCATTGTTGTTCCCCCTCTACACAGCCTCATGCATGCAGATTTAGAGTGCTATACTGTCATCTGAGTTCAGGATATGTTTTCTTTGAGACCTTTGTTCACCTTTTCAATACAGAGCCATACAAAAAGGCTACATATTTTTAGCTGGAGTTATTTTCATTTGAGATTAAAAGATAACAAATAGAGGAACAAAAGCAGTGACACGATTAGAAAGTACTGAGAGTGCATTTAGTCTGTTTGCCCTGAAAGCAATGTGAATAGAAAAGAGAATAAAGAGAAAATTGACTGTGCCATTGTGACACACCTCATATGCTATTAAAATGCCATCAAATTAAGGTTAAGTGCTAGAAAAGTTCATAGGACTCAAATATACACATTAGCCCCACAGAGACTCTAAATAGATGTATGTTTCATTAAAGCCTGCAAAGGGTAAAGAAGTTGATTGGCTATTATAAACATTTACCCTATTTTTTTTTCATGTCTTTATTCCCCGGTCCTCAAACCTGAGCTTGTTCTATTTGTGAAAGATTTGTTCAGGGAGGTTAAAAATAAAATAAGATGAAGAAGAATTTAGGTCTGTTTTTTAGAAATGCAAATGGAGCCATGCAGATTTCATCTTGGCCAGAGTCATGAACCTGCTGGAGGCATAGGCTCAAATTGAGGTCAGCAGAGTGGCATTCACACTGAACTACATGCACATTTTTAATTGCCAATTAATTATGTAGAACAGACAAGGCAAAATGCATAGGAAAGAAATTTAGAAAGCAGACTCTGCTGCTTTGCAGAACAAACGTCTGTCTGAAGCTAAAGAACTGTGTTTCAGTCTCTGCTATTTTAAACTAGAAACTAGCTCACTCAGGTGTTGCTAGGAAATTGACTGTACATGGGGCCCAGTTAGGATGGCAAGACCCATCTGTGAAGCCAAATTATAGTTGAAGTATTTATCCCAAGCTGAGCTTTCTCAGGTGAAAGCTGCTGTTGTGACTGAAAGGTAAACATACTCTTCTTCACCAAGACATGCAGCATATCACATATCTATGCCATTGTAAGGAGAGAAATCCTCACTGTATCTGACTCATTCCTAGAGCTCAGAGGTCATAGACTTTTTTTAGGGCTTCTGTGATCTAGATGTCTGCTGCAGGGCAGGAATTACTGAATTCAAACCCAGCTTTTTTTCTCTCTCTACTATGTAAAAACCTCCACATTCGCATCACTTTTCTTTAGTTGTTTTTAGATAATTGAAGTGGTCATTCTCCAGACTTTCAATGGGAGCAGAAGGCCCTTCAAGAGCAGACCTGATATTGCCTACTGTCTCAGAGTTTGGACATGTTTTCATTTATTCTCTTTCTCTGGCCATCAAGAAGGGGCCCAGTAATTCTTAGAATACCCTCCCTATGTTGCTGTGCTCCATTAGCTTCTGTCATGATGTAAAGTGCTGAATTTTTTTTTAAAATAAACCTATAGACATAGCAAATAAAGATGTAGTTTGCCTTTCTCTGAGAAAAATGTCACCTAATGACAAATGTTACTGATAGATCACATATTGCTTAGGAAGTATAAGATGGCTGTACCACCCAGTGGTTTTTTTTCAATGAACACTAGCACTGTACATTTGAACTGAGCAGTATAATTTGAGTGTCCTTCCTTGGCAGAAAGTCATTCCCTTCTCAACATGCCACCCTGGCAGCCTTTGCAGCAGTGTACATTTCGGTGAGTAACCAACTCTGTTCAGTTTCATTTATACGAGACAAAAGTCAGAAAGTAATTTCCTGTATATTGTAAAATTATGTGTTGCCTTGATATCATGGATGGATGGATGGACGGATGGATGTTTTTATCCTAATAATCTGAAAATTTATAAATTTGTAAAATAAAACTACTAATAAAGCTAGTTTTATTGTAGCTATTAAAGAATAAGGAAAAGGTTCAACTGCTTCATATTCTTTGTTAAGAAGCAAACAAAAGTGTTATGTTAAGGTATGTTTGATGCCTCATATTATCCTCATATAAAATGCAGTGTTTATCTGTGTTACAGAGTGATATTTTAACTTACCAGTCAAATTAACTGTTATGTATGCTGCCTTTTCTTTGTTGCTGTCTTCACTTGATTTGCTGCTTTTAAACTTGAGGCATTAAGGGCCATACATTGATGTGATGTAGTTTGATTTCACCTCCAGAGATTTGCAGCATGGATGAAATGGCACAATCACTCCCAGAGGCCTTCAAGGTGTTACTGCAAAGCAAGTGAATAAAACCCATCAGTCAGCAGCAGAGAATTGTGGGACATGCTGCAACAATCACAGATGATTTTGCATTTCTGAACAGTAACTTTTCTTCAGTGTGGTCCACAATGTTTGTACTATAGACAACTTACTTGAAGTTTAAAAAGTAATTCCATCACTTATGCTGTAAAAATCAGAGGAAAACAACAGTAACGACCAATTAATGACATTAGATAATAGTATTGTGCATGTACTGGGAGCTTGCCAGTATTTATTCTGCCCAGAGAAAGGCCAGAATTTGGAACAACACTGATGAACCACCTCCACGTAATTTTTGTAACCTCCCTGATATTATGGCCCTCAGTTGAGAAATGGCTCTCTAAAGCATCTGGTGGCAGCTTTTCTTGGAACAGGTTATTGCGTGCATCTGGCGTGACATCTGGCTTCTGTATTTCACAAGTGGTGGTTCCTTAGTCACATTTATAGAACATTTAGGTGCTGATTTGGAACAGTATTGAGGCATAAAATACTTATCCTAATTGATGTCAATTAGCAACACTGCCTATGTTTCTGGAAATCCATTCCTTGTGATTTCAGATTTTCTGCAGAAAGTGAGCAAATTTTAACAGGGCTGTAAAGTAAAACTAAAAGGATTACTTGTAATATTACTGTGTACTAGAGATCTGTATATAAAAGAAACACTGAACATAAGAAATTAAAATCCTCTTAGGTTTCTTCAACCGCTTCTTTATTTCTTTCTTTTTTAAGATGTACTTCAATTCTACATTAACAGACTCCTCAAAGCTTCTTAAACCACTCTTGGTCTTTGCCTTTATCATCTGTGGAATTATATGCGGTCTGACTCGTATCACCCAGTATAAGAATCATCCAGTTGATGTTTACTGTGGCTTTCTCATAGGAGGAGGAATTGCTCTTTATTTGGTAAATATGATAGTCATGATTAAGTTTTAAAAAATTAAACTTATAAGGCTGGAATAAGAGTACTGGTTATTTTTATGAAAACTTTCCATCATGCTCACATGCCATAAGTATAAATAAAGTCAATATGTGTTGAAGATGATTAATTAGGGATAATGACTTTAAAAGCCAACAGGAAAAAGCAAAAAAGTATTTCAATGTGAAGTTCCATAACAGTGCATAAAGTGGAATATAATCATCTGGCATTGTATACAGAAATGGTTCTAGCTTTATGTACTTTATTAAATACTTAAAAATATTCATCTTTTCTAATCCACACTTAAAAGCATAACACAAGATAAATATTTGATTAATTGGTATTGCTGACCTGAGTTGATATTGACAGTGTCTGCTTTATGATCTCAAAAAATTACTGCATTAGTATGAGCAACTCATCTGAGCGAATTGCTGAATCTGCAGGAAATTAAAGGCAATATATTATACACTTGTCATTCTTTGGAGTTCTTAGGGAAACCATGCAAGGGAAAAAGGATGGTCAAATCAGGTTATTCCTATGCTTTTCCTCTGTACTGTGTCAAAAGTGATGGAGCACCTTGGAAGGGTTCTGTAAGGAAGCATGTAGGTCATATCTGCCAGTAGGAAGCTCATCAAGTACTTGCTTTTGCTTGCTGCTCTCAGTATGTCTCCAGCAGGAATTTGCTGCCCTGGTTGCTCAGAGAGCAGCACAGGTGCCTGGGAGCAATCAGGGCTTCTGCTGACATCACTGCTTGAGTGTAGGCAGGTGAAGAGAAGAGTCTTAGCAGGCAGCAGGATGGTTTTACCCCCAAGAACTCAATGATGAATTTTACTATCATGCTAAAATAAGTTTATTTCCTGACCCCCTTTTTTCTGTGATAGCATAACCTGATGTACCTGCAGATGGTCTGCAAAGGTGTCCAGGGAAAAATGGCTTTCACAGTGGCTGAAGAAACAGCAGTCAGGATAGTAACAGAAATGCCATGAGCTACTAAAGTCAGCTTCTATGATTGCACTGTCAGCAGAAAGGCACTCTGTTGAGAATATTATTTCAAATGATTCTCTGTTGTAGATCTACCTAAATGGAGCTGCTGCCCCCAGTTTGAAATGCACAAACAAGTATACTTTGTTAGGTCTTCACATACTGTTGTGTGACATCATACAGCAGAGAGTATGTTTTCCTGGATACTCAGTGCTCAGTAAATCTGCCCTCAAAACTACACACCAATAGGAGGATGGGGAGGAGAAATAATGTGAAACTACAAATAATTCTGAAAGGAATATAAAGAACTAGTAACTCAAATGATTGAGTCAGATATTTGACCCTCTCACAGAACACTCTCAGTGGAGTCTTTTTAAAATGACAGCATTTTACAGTGAGTTTTCTGATTAGGAAAATGTTTTAGAAGTAAATCTTATTAAAGTTCTGCACAGCTTGGAAAGCAATTGATTGAAAGTTGATAAATTTTTCTATGATGTAGATATTGTATTACATGGTTATTGTGCAGTAAAAAGAATCTGCAGACAGCAGAGAACAAACTCAAGCTGTAACAAGATTCGGTAAATCAGGGTAAATGGTAATATTTGCCTAAGAGATTGCAAACATCTTATATTGCTATTTTTCTAACAAAACATTATTTCTGTATCTGTACCTGTTGCTAGATAAAAAGAAGAAAGCTCACGGAGGCTAAATCCTTATCTCAACTATTTATTGCCATGAATAATATGCCCTAGTGAGACTACTTCACATGTACCTAGAGGTACCAGATTGAGGAGAGAATTTGGGCTCAGGCTATACTAGTGAGGAAATATACTAGTATGCTTACTTGCATACTCATCAGTTTAGCTGAAGTAGTTATGTCACTGAATTCTATTTAAAAGCAAAATGCAATTAAAGTACCTTAAAATGTGTCCCTTTTAACTTTCTTAACCAACTGTTGATGCTTCTGTCCAAATATCAGGGCCTCTATGCTGTGGGGAACTTCTTACCAAGTGACGAGAATGTGTTTCACCCAAATTTTCACAGAGAACCTCTAAGGTCATTGACAGACCTCAGTCAAGATGCCAACAGAATCCTGCCAGGTAAAAATGGCAGCAGCAGCGACGGCATTGTCTCTCACCGTACAGAAAGCATCCTGAATAGAAACCACAGAGATTCAGGCTCTCTGACCAATCTCAAGAGGGCAAATGCTGATGTAGAAATCATAACACCACGAAGCCCAATGGGAAAGGAAAACATGGTTACTTTCAGCAACACTTTGCCAAGAGTCAACACACCATCCTTGGAAGATCCAGCAAGACGCAATGCAACAATACACGCATCAATGGATTCTGCCCGTTCCAAACAGCTGCTGTCCCAGTGGAAGAACAAGAATGAAAATCGAAAGTTGTCCCTGCAAGTAATAGAGACTGAATCTGGCCAGTCACCACCAAGGGCTATCGAAATGAGGTCAAGCTCAGAGCCCTCCAGAGTGGGTGTAAATGGTGATCATCATGGCCCAACTAGCCAATACCTGAAAATCCAACCTGGCAGTGTTCCAGGTTGTAACAACTCAGGTTTAACTGGCGGGCCAAGGGTCTCTATTCAGTCCCGTCCTGGCTCATCCCAGCTAGTACACATTCCTGAAGAGACTCAGGAGAACGTGAACACATCACCCAAAAGTAGTTCAGCTAGAGCTAAATGGCTGAAAGCTGCTGAGAAGAGTGTTGCATGCAGGAGCAATAGCCAGCCAAGAATCATGCAAGTAATAGCCATGTCTAAGCAGCAAGGAGTGCTTCAGGGCAGTCCAAAAAGTTCGGAGGGAAGCACAGTGACCTGTACAGGAGCCATCAGATATAAAACCTTGACAGACCATGAGCCAAGTAGCATTGTTAGAGTTGAGGCCCATCCAGAAAATAACAGACCTGTAATTCAGATGCCATCAGAAGGTGAAGGAAGTGGGTCATGGAAATGGAAAGGTCCTGAAAAAGTCACTCTTCGTCAAACATACGAGCTAAATGATCTTAACAGAGACTCTGAGAGCTGTGACTCCTTAAAAGACACTTATGGGTCAGGTGACAGGAAAAGAAGCAACATAGATAACACTGAGCATCACCATCATGGAATCACTACAATAAGAGTCACACCAGTGGAGGGAAGTGAGATTGGCTCAGAGACTCTGTCCATTTCTTCTAGCCGGGACTCAACACTTCGAAGAAAAGGTAACATCATTTTAATCCCTGAGAGAGGGAGCAGTCCAGAGAACACCAGAAACATCTTCTATAAAGGCACATCCCCCACACGAGCGTACAAGGACTGAGAGGAGACATATCAGCTGGTCCATGCCACCACAAAGTAAACACATCTTGACACAGGTTCTGCTCCCTTTGTTTTGAGCTGATATTTACCCTTATGTGCCAAATTATTGACCAGCAGCCCTGCATTGCTGATGTGCAATGGGCATGAGCCTGTGAAAAGCATGTGGTGGGGGGAAAAGCACAATGCCAGAACTAATGTGAAACATTTTCATGCAACTTGTTTCTTCAGATTCAAAACTTTTATCTGAGGGTGATGATGTCAATTAAAAGAATGGTCTTGAACACACTGTATTTCCTGAATGTGCCAACTTTTTATTTTATATTTGTGTCCAAAATTGACTACCTTTTTCACAGCAAAGGCTGTATCAGTGGTATATATTCACCTTTGCAGAATTTGCACCAAATCTTTAATACAGGATGGTGCTTATGATAACTTTACATGTTTTGAAAACTTGCATAATTATTAGATTCTGCAAACATGACATATTGATGTGCAGTTACTTTACAAGTAATATTGCTAATACTATGATGATGCTGGCTGCATTCATTTAGCGTAGGAAATATTTACAGCTTTGTTATAGTGGATCTGTCACATTCAAAGATTGCAAAGGTTTTGTGTAGTTCTTTAAGATGTCTACTGCAACAAAAAATGTGTGGGTGACATTCCATTAGAATGGAATGACTATCTATTTTGAATAGTTTTGCTGCTACTGCTCAACTTTTGTTTAAGAACAGGTGCTACTAATGAAGAGGCTGCTTCTTAGTGGGCTAACTTGTAGAATTGTTTTAAATGACATTTTTAAGGGGTCTTATCAAGTACTACAAGTGATTTAGATTTTACATTTTTAAACTTCTTACTCTGTCCTTCAGCGACCCTTCCATTTTTCTATTAGTTTTTAAACAAATAATGCAGGACACCAGTAACTGCACGATGTGCAAATGTGAAAGGTGAGCCATGAGTAAATAAAAGTAGATGGCAATTTTCCTGACCAGCTTCCAAGGAGACAGGAATTAATATCATAGCTCACACTTAGAAGCAGTCATTCACCTCACTTGCTTAGTATGCCACAAGAACAATCACAAGTTTCATCCCAATCACCATCACACAGGGGATTTGTGCTTCGGTTTAAAGAATGGAATGCCTTGGTATTGCAGAACCACTGAACAAGTGTTGCATTGTGCCACTACTACAGTTCACCTCCCTTGAGACACCCTACAGAACCTTCTTAAGCATGATATTTTTTCCACCACTGCCACTTAAGAATATAAAAGGTCTCTGCACCTGAGAAAACATGAATTACTTTAGTAAACTGAGCTTTGGATATAATGAAAAAACTTGCCTGCTAAAAATCTCCATTGCCAAAAATTATTGAAAGGATAAGCTCTGAAAGGAATAAGTATGGCATGTCCTAGAATGGGCCTGCTAGAAGAAATGCCTCATTTCATATGGCTCTGACTTAAACCCTGAAGGAAGCCAGGGGCAGTGCTCACCCACTGCAGCTCTTCATTCTCTCCTATTTCTACCTGAAAAAGAGCTACTCTCAGTCACCTGGCAGCTCCCCTGCTAGAAGGGGAAGGGAATGGCTTAGCAGTCCTCTCACTGAATAAGAAGTAGAAGATCAGGTCTGTTCTCTGGCTTCTTGAGAGAAGTGTTTTGGTCTAAGTCCTCTTTTCATTTAGGGTATCAGAGAACCAGATACATTCTCTATAGTCAGAACCTGTATACAGACCCTACCTACCCCACAGAACTCTAAGGAAAAGCCCTCCCTACCCCAGGCACGTAGGAGGTAGAAGTAAGAATCATCCTGTTCAAGAAGATAAACAGCACAACACAAACATAGACCAAAAAAAAAACCAAAAAAACCCAATGACATAAAACCAAACAACAAAACAAAAACCCAAAAAAAAGACCTCCAAACCAAAACAAAATCCCAAACCCAGCCCCAAACCTAAGTAATTTCACAAGTATGAGGATGGTGTTTGCGAGTCAATGGAAAGCTTTACGTGTACTTCCCAGTTCTACAGGTGCTCCAGGCTTAGCTGAATGCTTGCTGTCAAGCCAACTGTGCCAAGCTATGCTTCCCTCACCTGTCCATCACCCAGTGCTGTGGAAGAGTGTCAGTCCTTAAGGAAATCACCACACTCTTTCTGTTATTGACACAAGATGACCCCATCACACTTAGGATGATTGGGAGAAAGTATTCTGCAGGCTGCATGTAAGAAGCTACCCAGTAGGGTTGCAGCATATTGTGTATGTTAAAAGCACTGTATGTGTGAAGACACACTTTAAGGCACATCAGCTGGGGAAAATAATCATAAATACCAGGAGAAAAAGAAAAGTAATTTTTTTAGAAATAAGTTCTCAGATGCTAGTCTTTACAAGTCAGGAGTTGTTTTTTCTTTTCAAAAGGATGTATCTTTAGTCCTTGGTATTTAATATGAAATTTTGTACAAGATTCCTAGGAATTAAAAACACTTGGACTGTCATGGACAAAACCCTTTGGCTTTAGTTTAGTTTAGGTACAGGGTAAAGGAGGTAGGATTAGCTTTAAAGGAATGGGTAAGACACAAACACTGTTGGCCTATCAGTGCAGGGAAATAAGATGCAATCATTTGTTAGTTTGTAAGTGCAGGGGAAAAGAACGTAAGTAGATGAACCTGGAAATAAAGGAAAATTGAAATGGAGAATAATGGCAATAAAGCAAAGATTAGAAAACGTTCCCTCTGGCAATTTAGCTGTTTTGGAAACAGCAGGATTCCTGGTGGGAGTGTTTGTTCTTTATTCCTTGGTTTTAGTCAGATATATATTGGCATATATGTTGCTTTTATTACTCTAAAACTTGCTGCACTATTTCAAGTGCAGTGTGATATTTTTCCTAAAGTTTCCTATTTCTTAAGAAAAGATTTTAAAGCTCTTGTGTAATCATTGAAATTATGTTCTATACATAAATATTGATATATTCTTTTTTACTCAAAGTGCCAAAGGCTACTGTTTTTAATAATGGCTTATCAAATTATATTACGTTAGAGAGCAGAAATGTAATAATATATACATTGGAACTCAGACCTCTGCATGTATATTTGATAAGGAGCCTTTTGTAAAATTACTCTTTGTTTACATTCCACTGGTACCTTAATTTAAAATTAATCAAATAAATTGACAGGTGACATCTTCTTAGTGTTCTGATTTTCTTACTTGCTAACAGGCACGATTTTCTTTGTTAGGCTGTGCTTTACTGAGAAAAGAAAATACTTAAAAATAAAATATGTTTTTAAATGAGAATTCTCTATATAAAGTATTGTGTTTAATAAAATGTTATGCCATGTTTTCAAATGGAAAATAATTTGTAAATTGCTATAAATGTATTTTGTTAAATAAGTACAGATCAATGCTACTGTGTGAGTTTATTGTGCTAACATCATGAAATAAAGATAAAATTCCTCATCGATGTTTGTTTATCTATGTGGTGAAACAAAGTCCCACTTCTCCCAAAATATTTTTCAATATTAGGTATCTCATGATGTGTAAAGGGGGTCATCAGTGAGAAACCTTGAGACCTTGCACAATGGTAAGAATTTATGAGGAACAGTGTCCAAACAAACTTTTCTCTAACCTAAAAGCATTTTACAAAAAAACCCCAAGTGAATTGGGAACTTCAAGCCATGTGGGGGTGTGCCTGCTCAGTCATTCCGCAGCACCTGCTGCATTGCTAAGCCTCTAATGCCCCTAAGCCACCTTGCTAGTGTTGGGTAGAGCGGCCAGACATGGTGAGGCCAGCCTTGGATTTGTGAATGAGAACAGGGCAGGTGTCAGAGGCAAACTGAGAGGACAGGCTCTCAGGGGAAGAAGTTAAGATGCAGGAGTCAGCAGGTGTCATACACCCTTTGCTGGCAACAGTGAAAGACCTTATGTGTAACAGCACACTCTGAAAAGCAGTCTTACCTAGAAGGCACACAAGGTATTTGGTAAGCAGACAGCAAAGACTGTCTCCAAGCCTGGCTTGAAACACCCTCAAACAGCAACAGCAGGGCCCATGTGCCTGGGGTGGAAGACACAGCTGTAGCTGAGACACGCACTGACATTGCCAATGGCCTAATTAAGGACCACAGGGAGTAGCAGAGCCCCTGCAATGCATGGCAGTGCAGCAAACTGACTGAGAAGCTTTCCCAAGTGTAGGCTGCCCCTTTGTACCTGTGTGTCCTTGGAGCAGGTAACCTGCTGTGGCTGGGGGGCACTGGGCAGCTGCTGTGACTTCTGACTGCAGCCAGGCAGCGCAGCGCTGAGTGGTACAACAATGTCACATGTCACATGTGTCGTGATCCACGCCAAGGCAGCAGGGTGCACTGACATCGCCTTAAGCTGTGGTGCAAATCTGGGTCACTTGGCAACCCCTGTCCCATGACTTTCATGACAAGTTAAGATGGGAGCCCTCAAGCAAAAGAGAATCAAAAACCAGTATGTTGTCTCTCAAAGAAAGGGAAGAGTCTGTACAGTTGTTCCCTTTGTAGTGACAGAAAGCACTATCTTCCTGTGGCTGAGCTGGAGAATGCCCTGCCACCACAGCTTAAGTAGCCAGTTTCAGGAGAGGCCTCTCCTTTGGCCTCAGCAGATGCTGCTGTGGCAGTCCATTATATGCCCAAGGTTAAGGTGTCCCATCCTCTGGGACATGTGTTGGTAGCCTGGGAAAGCTACAGACAGTGATGGCTGGTATGGCTGAGAGATGCCCTGTAAAAATGCAAGAGAGTAAAACAGACTAAGGTAGGACTGCTGAAAGGTGACATGTAATGCAAATCTGATGAGTTCTCCCCTGGGAATGGCCCCTTCCATGGATCACAAAGGGGCCTAGACAATTAGACAGTTTTAAAGGGCACATTTTAAACATCTGAATTTTGGTTAAAAACAAAGCCCCTGTCTGACTGGTATCTTTGATGCAGAGATTATATTATAAAACTTCATCTAAGATGAGAAAGTACCTCTATTAACAAATCCTCTCACATTCTC